AAGCCATGTAAAGAAAGCCGATGTACGGCTGATTTCAGCCGATGCACGCAATTAAAAACGCTAAAAACCGCGCTGATCAGCGCATTTCTATTGAAATGGGGGCGGGGGGTTTCATTGTGAGCCCTTACAAAATTTTGCCATGGGGCCCTGGGATTTCTAGTTACGCCCCTGGTTCTAACCGTACTATATCTAAAACCAAGAAAGAAAGTTTTAAGTGGAGCTGTGCTTAAAGAGGAACTTTACCCACATTTTCGAAATGACAATGAACACACCTTTAGAAATGTTTTTACGCGACAAACTCGCGTTTCCGAGGGCTACTTGGCTGTATCCCAATGGAAATGCGCGACAAAAACGCCCAAAAGAAGCTCCTGTACTTCTTTGGGCATAGGGCGTTTTGTAACGCGTTCATACGGCCTGTAATACGCCCAGGTGTGAACCATACCCATAGGAAATAATGGGATTTCGGTGTTTGAGTGTTTTGCAGAGCGTTAATGTGCTATAAAACGCCCAGATATGAACCGGGCCTTAGGCATGGGCTATATCACTATTGCTCAAGAGGACCAGGAAGTGGGAAAACTGTAATTGTAAGCAAAAGAAAAATATGTTTGTTTAACTAATGAATGTAAGATGATTTCATATCATCATGCAGAGCTGTAGTGATTTTTAGTCAAAGTGAGTAAAGGTCAACTTTAGAGCAAAATCCAAATACAAATCTGTCATGCCATAAGCAGAAAAAGTCCTGATTTGTAAGTCATAGTTTGAGTCAAATTCTCAAAAGCGAGGGTAGCTGTTGTCAGTTGGAGCTTTTAGTGTGCAGAATAAAAGGTCATTTAGTCCGTGAACCAGCTTTACAGATCACTTGGCTTATTTGAAGTTTTCCAAAGCATGTAACTTAGAAAAATACATGGTGAGCATACATTATATTGTTTGCTGCCCTTTTTTTATCAATATGAAAGCAAGTGATGTCAAAGCCAGCCATCCAGAAGAATTGATGCACTTGTGGTTGAAGGGGTAGACTGGCCTGGTATTTCTGTTCTGAGTTCACTGGCAGCAAATAATTATCTACACAGGACTCAAGCATCAGGCTTGCCACCAGCTAATTATGGCCTCTTTCATAAAACCACTCCCTCTTTCTGCTGCGGTTACATAGTTCTCATTTATTCCACAGTGTATTAAACGGTATTAATACAGTCTCAAGCATATAAAGTGCCCCAAGCAAAGCATTTATACCCAACATAGATGTAAGTTATGAATGTATAATATGGTGCTTGCTGTTGAGCAAGCTGAATGGACAGGATTAGGAGGAGTGATAGGATGAGTGTTGTGCAATTAACCATACCATGTTTCCATGTTTGAATGTTCTGTTTCTTTATCAGAGCTCTGACAAAGAATCAGTTTCTGTATTATACTACTGCATTAGGTTGATAAAAAGGCATTATTATAACTTTAGTGCACCAGTTAATTTCAAGACAGAAGTAAGCTTATGAGGATAGCAAACTGCGCATTTTCTTGATAAGGAAATATCACAGCTTTGATAGAAAAACTCTAAGAGGTCTATTTATCAATGTTTATACCCAACTTTCACCGAAGATTCACACGTTTTATCTATGATTCAGTTAAAAAAAAGTGTGGCTCTTGAATGGAATGCTGTGTAAATCTTTGGTGAAAAATAGTCCCCTTAAAGTTCATCTGTGGCAATAGACTTATTAGAGTCAAACATTACATTGTGTTTTTAATCTGAACAAACTATATTTGGGATCACATTGACTTCATAATCTGTAAAAAGTTGCTCCCTTCCTTAAATCAATGGGACTCCTGGCTTCTTAGAGTATTGGGTAGTTAAACTATGAGTTTTTTCAGAGTCTGTCAATCCAAGTCCTATTACTTTCAATTACCTTGGTTGGCCTCCTGTCATAGCCATGAGTGCATACCAGCAGTTATTGGTTTCCTCCACAAACAATGCACATCACTGGTCCTGTGCCATCATACCTATGGTATCTTCCCTGTGCAGTTTTTATATTTATAGCATCCATGATATGGATGTAAAATGTATATTAAAGGGAATTTCTGCATTGATTAATATATTGTAAAATGGGACTAAATACAGACTTCTTTGAGTCTGTAGTGAGTTACAGTCAAAACAAATCTACGTTATGTTAAGTGAAGGCTGATGCTCAGTTCTTTGAAACAAGCTTATCTTGGCATCCAAAACTATCTGGGATGTTCTCGCAATCCAAACTCTATTACTTTCCAATCCTGTGGTAGGCCTAAAAACACATGGGCATGGGTATCACAACATGCAGTTGCTATATGGGTCCCTGCACAATTTAAAGATACACACATAGGCTTCTTCTGCTCAGGCTCTCAATGTTTCTGCCTGCAAACAACGAGGTCTGTGTAGTGGGGGGCGTAACTTGACCTAGCACACAATAACAGGCTCTCAATGTTGCAAACAAAGGGGTCGGTGTAGTGTGTGGGTGTGTGTGT